TGGGGTATGTTTCTGTATGTTCAAGTTTGGGTTTTGGCGGTAGTTTTTCTGGATTGGTTCAGTGGTTTGGGGGGCTATGTTTTTTCTGTATTGGTTCAATGGGTTTTGGGGTATGGTTTCTGTATGGTTCCAGCCTGGGAGGTTTTTGGGGTATGTTTGCGTATTGGTTCTAAGTGAGGTTTTTGGGGTATGTTTTCTGTATTGCTTTTCCAAGTTGGCGTTTTTGAGTAATGTTTTCCGGTTATGGTTCAAGTGGGGGTTTGGGTATGTTTCTGGTATTTCAAGGGAGGGTTTGGGTTTATGTTCTGTATGGTTTCAAGTGAGGGTCTTTGGGGTGTATGTTTCTGTAATGGTTCAAGTGGTGGGTCTTTGTGGTATGTTTCCTGTTATGGTTCAAGTGGGGTTTCGGGGGGTATGTTTCTGTTTATGGTTCAGCTTGGTCTGGTATATGGTTTCTGTATGTTCAGAGTGGGGTTTGGGTATGTTTCTGTACTGGTTCAATTGGGGTTTTTTGGGTAATGTTTCTGTATGGTTTTCAAAGTGCGGGTTTGGGGTAGTTTCCCTGTATGGTTCAACTGGGGTTTTGGTGGTATGTTTCTGTATTGGTTCAAGTTGCGGGTTTTTGGGTATGTTTCTGTACTGCGGGTCAACCTGTGTGTTTTTGGGGTTATTTTCTTGTATTGGTCAAGTTGGGTTTGAGTTATGGTCAATTGGGTGGGTTCATGCGGTTCAGTGGGGTTTTGCGGTAATGGATGGGTTTTTGTATGTTTTCAAGTGGTTCTGGTTCTTGGGGTATGTGTTTCTGGGTTATGATTCAAGTGGGAGGGGTTTTGGGTACGATTGTTCTGGTTATGTGTTCAAGTGGAGTTTGGGGGATGTTTCTGTATGGTTCAAGTATGGGTTTATGGGGTTATGTTCTCTGTATGTGTCAGTGCGGTTTGGGGTAAATGTTTCCTGGTAGGTTCAAGTGGGGGCGTGTCGTTATTGGATGTTTCTGTATGGTTCAAGTTAGGGGTTATTTTTGGTGATATGTTTCTGTACGGTTTCAAGCTGGGGTTTTGTGAGGGTTATTATTGTTCTGTATTTTGGTTCTCAAGTGGGGTTGTCTGGCGGTATGGATTCTGTAGTTGGTTCAAGTGGTGGTTTTGGAGGAATGTTATCTGTACTGGTTTCAAGTTGGGTTTTGGCGGATTGTTTCTGTATATGGTCAATTGGGTTTTGGGGCGTAATGGTTTCATTGGCATTGGGGTTGAGGTTTTTGGGGTATGTTTCTGGTAGTTGTTCACAGGGGGTTGTGATTATGATTCCGGTTATGTTTCAACGTGGGTTTTGGAGTTATGGTTTCTGATGGTTTCAATGGTTTGGGGTATGTTTCTGGTATGGTTCAGAGTGCGGGTTTTGGGGTATGTTTTCTGTATGGTTTAAATGTAGGGTTTTTTGAGGTATTCTTTTTCTGGCGGTAATGGTTCAAGGTGGTGTGGGTTTGTGTGTTTTATGTTTCTGTATGGTTCCAAGTGGCGGTTTGCTGCGGGTATGTTCATTTGGGGTTGGGTTATGTTCTGTTATGGGTTTCAGTGGCGTGTTTTGGAGTATGTATTGCCTCGTATTGGGGTTCAAGTGGTGAGGTTTGCGGCGTGACGAGACGTATTGGTTTACTGTATGGTATCAAAGTGTGTCGGAGTTTTGGGGTACGTGGCATGTTGTGTTGTGTGGTTTTTTCCTGGTTTTATTGTTCAAGTGGGGTTTTTTTGGGGGTTATTTGGTTGACCTTTTGTTTTATGGGTCAAATGTGGGTTTGGGGTATGTTTCTCTGTATGGATTCAAGTGGGTTCGGGTATTTTCGTGTTTATGTTCAAGTGGGGTTTTGGAGTATGTACTGTATGGTTCAAGTGGGGTTTGGGGATATGTTACTGTATGGTTTCAAGTGGGGTTTTGCGGGGTATCGGTTTCTGTTAGGTTAAGTTGGGGGTTTTTGGTGTTCTGTTATGGTTTTTTCCAGTGGGTTTTGGAGTATTGTTTCTGTTATGCTTCAAGTGGTTTTGCGGTATTTCTGGTTATGGTCAAGTGGGGTTTGGGTATGTTCTGTTACTGATTTCTTCCCAAGTGAGGTTTGCGCGCGTTAATGTTCTGATACTGGTCAAGTGGGGGGTTATTGGTAGTATATGTTTACTGTTATGTTCAAGTTGGGGTTGGGGTATGTTACTGTATGGTTCAAGTGGGCGTTTTGGTATGGTTTTCTGTTATGGTTCAGTGGGATGTTTTTGGGTGTGGTTTGTTATTGGTTCAGTGGGGTTTTTGGGGTATGTTTCTGTATGGTTCAAGTGGGGTTTTGGGGTATGTTTTCTGTATGGTCACGCATGGTGCGTTATTGGGTTATGGTTTCTGTATGGTTTCAAGTGGGCGGTTTTGGTTACAGTATGGTTTTCTGTATGGTTCAAAAGTGTGTTTTTGGGGTTATTCTCAGGGTTCAAGTTGGGGTTTGCGGGGTAATGTACTGTTGTTCCCAAAGTGGGAGTTTTTGGGGTGATGTTTTCTGTACTGGTTCCAAGTGAGTTTTCTTGGAGTATGTTACTGCTATGTTCAAGTGGTTGTTTTGGCGGTATGTTTCTTGTATTGGTTCAAGTGGGGTTTCTGTGGGGTTTACTGTTTCTGTACTGGTTCAAGTGGCGTTTTAGGAGTAATGTTTCTGTTATGGTCAAGTGTGGGGGTTTGGGGTATGTTTCATGTATGGTTTCAAGTGGGGGTTGGGTTATGGTTATTTTGGGGGCTTATGGGGGTGTATGTTTCTTTATTGGTTCAAGTGAGAGGGTTGGGTATGTTTCTGTATGGTCAAGTGGGGTTTGGGGTATGTTTCTGTATGGTTTCAAGTGAGTTTTGGGGTATGTCTTCTATGTGACTGGTTCAAGTGGGGTTTTGGGGTATGTTTCTGTATGGTTCAAGTGGGGTTTTTGGGGTATGTTCTGTATGGGTTCAAGTGGGGT